ACCAGTGGAGCAACAATCTGACATCCAATAAAGATTGTTAAAGAAAGAAACCGCAAGTAGGTACAAACATGCAAAAAATAGTAATGGGAGTGATCATGAAATCTTGTGGACTAGAAGCACAAATTTTTCCTCTTCTTCTCTGAAGGCCCCTGGTGGCAGCAACCGAACCTCCAACGCTGCAGCAAGAGCAGAATCGGATGCATATTCCTGTTTTACAGGTGAAAACAAAAGAACGAGGCTGAGAACTGAGCAGTAGCAGAGAATCTTGGAAACTCCGTTGGCTCTCCAAAGGAGAGGCCCTCATTGGGGAGAGGGATTGCTGGTGAGCAGGTCCTGTGTGCCCCCTAGTGGTCACCAGGGTGTCTGCGGCAGCGGATGCCAGCCTTGTCTCCTTTCCTCTCCCCCAGCTTCCCCTGTCACCTTCGGTCTCCTTCAGTGCAGGTGACGAGAAACAGATCCGTGGCAAGAATACAAAGGGAGCTTTCATCTCCTCTTCTCTGTCACACGAGATACTTGTGGCAACTTTTGACGGGGAGGGGGGGAAGAGGGGGCGATCACGCCGCCATCAGCGCTGTCAGCGGCGAGACAACTTAAAAGGCACGTTAAAAAGAAACGTCGTGTCAGTAAAATATGGAACGTGGGGAGGAAGACAAGCGTTTGGGGATGGTTCCATCAAGGATCATGGGAGAGGACGGTCAGGGGGGGCTTATGGGTGCTGAGTTTGGGCTGGGCCCCCCAGAACCTAGTGGGACCACCCCTGCTTTGTTTACAAAAGTATACTTTTGAATGCAATCAACTCTCATTTTCTAGTGACTTCTTGTCATTCTTGGCTGCAGGGTTTGGAAAGTGCGGACGGCATGGGTACCCCCAACGAACGTGGCCGCCGAGATGCCCTTGTGCCCACTGTTGGCCTTGTTCCGGGTGCTGTGGCTTCTCTTCCCACCTGCTTCCTGAGCTTCCGAATCACAGGCCTTGGGAGGTCATCTTGGAGATCTTCAGACAAGGGAGACTGAGGAAGAGGGGAGCCACTGGCCTTCATGGCGCAAGGGGCTGTTCGTGGAGGCGAGGATCCCTCTGTGGGCTCCGAGTGCCGCCCTGCGAGTCGGAGGTGAGTTCAGTGCCGATAAGGAGATTGTGGGGGAAAGAGGGAGTCTCTGCTTTGGGTTTTGGCTGCTGGATTTTGGAAAGAGGTTTGCTCTTCAAATCGGAAACACGCCCGGTCTGAACGTGTGCACGGACGGTAGGCAGACATTCAACAGGTAGAGTTTTTCATGGAGGAACGGACATGCAAACGGAGGGACTTCTTCCTCTCCCTGTTTTTAGCTGGCAGTCTGCGTCACGCTGTCTTCACAGAATCTCTCACGGATTCTGTGGACGGCAGGCAGACATTCAACAGGTTGAGCTTTTTTCATGGCGGAACGGACATGCAAACGGAGGGCCTTCTTCCTCTCCCCGTTTTTAGCTGGCAGTCTGCGTCACACTGTCTTCACAGAATCTCTCACGGATTCTGGATAAAGGGGAAGGTCTTCCTTGCTTAACATATGCTTTCTCTTAGAACTCCAGTAAATCGAAGGCCAGCTCCACATTTCCGTATTGGTTCTTCTGTCGTGTTGTGTACCGCCTTGAGTCCTGTTCTGGGGCAGGGGAAAGAGGCTGGAATGTGAACAAACAATCAGATGATGGCTTTGAACATGCAGTGATACCCAGTGGACAGAGATCCCACCCCCCAAGATGATGGTACCCAACATGCAGGAGGATTTGATGGCATGACCATCTCGCCGGCTCCAATCCAATCAATTGAACGGATCGGTTTGTTCTCCTTGCAGTCCAGGGGACTCTCAAGAGTCCCCTCCAGTACCACAATTCAAAAGCATCAATTCTTCGGCGGTCCAGCTCTCACTTCTATACATTGCTACTGGAAAAACCATAGCTTTGACTATGCGGACCTTTGTCGGTAAGGTGATGTCTCTGCTTTTAAAGATGCTGTCTAGATTTATCACCGCTTTCCTCCCATAATCCAGCGCATGTTAGCAATTTGGTCTCTAGTGCCTCTGCCCCTTCGGAATCCAGCTTGTCCTTCTGGGAGTTCTCGGTCCACATACTGCTGAAGCCTATCTTGGAGGATTTTGAGCATAATTGTGGGCTACAAGAAATAATTTTTCATACCTGAAATCATAGACTTATAATTCCCAAACGAGCATCATTGAACACGTGTTCCCTATGTTTCTTTAGGTGAAATCTAGTCAGTAGAAATCCAGCCAATCTGAGTCCAGGCCGGGCTAGAAACCACAGGGTGTCTTCTGTTTTCATGGAGCGGAGAGCATCCTAAGTTGCAGGTTGTGTCCCTTACTTACCCCAACAGGCAGGGAGAATCAAGTATTGAGTTTTTAGGTGGGACACCCCCCCCAATGGGCATGCCACGTCCTGCTTCCCTGCACTTGACACTGTTTGGTTAGCCGGCTAAGAAAGATTTCATCTTTTTCCTGCCTTTGTATTGTGTAAGGACCCCAGAGCTTTTAAAATTGCTTTTCTCTCCCCCCCGCCCCCCTCATGCTCAGGAAAGGAGAAATCACGGTGCGATGCCTCCTTGATTCAAAGCTTGGTCTCTAGATGAGCAGCCCCATAAGACAAGCTAATTACATGTTCGCCTTCCTCACCAAAAGGCCTATAGCTCGTTGTGGCCCAGATACAGTAAAAGGAGCCACTTCGGGAAGGTGTTTATGGGCTTCAGTTTGGGGCGGCTTCTTTGAGCATAATACGAGCGCAAATTACAAGCCACCTCCGATAATTAACTATCTGTGTCACGAAAACGCAGCCGTATGTTCTGCAGCTGGAAAGGTACTCAAGACTTCCAGGTAAGCACAGAAATTTCAGCTCAGGTATTTGCCTGTCTTTTAATTAATGTATCTCTTCACCGCCCCTGCTCCCTCCCTCCCCCCCGTTGCAAAAAAAGCTCGTTAGATTATCCAGTCTTAAAACATTGAAGAACATTTATGGCAATATATATACAATTCCACCTATTATCATTTATCGGTATAATGTATACAGCTCTTATGGTGCCCGTAGTATTTCTCGGTTGGGGGGCGCAGCCCCTATTCCAGGTAACGTACTTGGGTGGGTGGCTGGACTTAAGCCTCGGTCTCTTCTAAAAGTATCTGAGCATGTCAACTTTAAGCTTGCGAAGGCATCTTGACGAATCCCACAGCGCCAAGAAAAATCATCAGACATCCCAGAAAAGTTGGGAGGAATTAAGACCCCCCCCCAGGGAAATTTCTTGTAACAGGACCGATTCTGATGCCACGAAAGATGGCTTTCTCCTGCATCGGCCCATTTGGGTCCTTTAAACCAGTGGTTTCCAACCTTGGGCTTCCAGAGGTTCTTGGACTACAACTCCCAGAAGCCTTTGCCACCACCCCTCTGCTGGCCAGGATTTCTGGGAGTTGAAGTCCAAGAAGATCTGGAGGCCCAAGGCTTGGGGACCACTGTGCATGACAGCCACCGGGAGCAATCCTCCCGGTTGGTACATACTTCTGGCGTCTGCCCTTCCGGCATTCAGATCCTGGCCACGCACCTCGAGGGATCCACTTGGGGTCAGGGTCAGGCCTGAAAAGGGCTTTGAGTGGCACAGGGGCGTTGTGGTAGTTGCTTTGCAGAGGGCAACAAGTGCCGCGCGCTTTGGGGAGGGAACATGGAAAAATGGCCCTTGGCCAAGTGGAAAGGCAGAAATCACTCTAGATGGGAGTCGGGCCGAGGGTGCAAAGGAGGAGGAGAGAACCGGACCGGCCTTGGGAGTGTTTTTTTCCCTAGGTCCGGTTCTTTCTTCTTGAGGGGCGGACGGCCGTGAGCCCGCCAGTGCCTGGGGAAAAAAATCTCTTCTAAGGTGGCCCTTCTGGACAAAGCGAAGGGGAACAGAAGACCCCATGGACCCACCTGCCGGGGAAGGGGGTGGAAGTCCCCCCCCTCCGAACTAAACAGGCAGACAGCATTTATATGATCTTGGCTTTGCTTGTGAAAAACATCCCAAGAATCGGGTGGAAATCCGGGACGAATAAAGGCCTGCTTCCTAGAAAGGCGCAAGACGATTGACACCCCAGGCAAGGGTAAGGGGGGAAAAATAGTAAGTGTCAGGGGAGGAACCCCCCACCCCAGGTTATGTCTAAGGGACGGAGGCTGTACATGGCAGGGCCTTCTTTGCGGTTGCTCCGGGTCTCTGGAACTCCCTGCCACTAGAAGCCCACTCGGGGCCTATTCAGTGCAGCGAAGGGAGGAAAGGGGGGGTTTCTCCCCCCGCCCGGGGCTCAGCCCCTCTCCATCCCGGGGAGGCTTGGAGAAAGGGCTGGGGCTTCTTCCCTCTGCGCGCTCCCCCTCTTTCTAACCTTGTGCGCCCCTTGGAAGGGGAAGGAAAGGTGGATTGGGCACCCGTTCCAGAAAGACACCCCCCCCTTTTTT